AAGAAGCACACCCCCTGATACAAAAGTATACATTTTTATAAGGCATAACATGAAAGACGGACCAAGGGGGTTGGGAGGAGGTGGAGAAATGGAAGGGGTTTCTATAATTGGTACACATTCCTGCTAATTCACTTCTCCGTGTCAGATACTCTCCTACTCAAGGACAGACTTCTCATTTAGAAACACCGTAATTGTAAATTGGAAGAAACTCTGACGATCACCCCTCCGCCTCCCTTGTTCATTCTTGCCTGCCTAAGCAAAACATTCCTACAGCAAAGCAAGATACAGAAAGCAAAATGGCTACAGTTAGGCTAAGATACATTTTATGTGTACTATATTAATTGGACCCCTTCAAAGAGGAGACAAGGTTGACTGGAAAAGGGGAAGACCAAGTGAGGGAGGGAAGAACCCCATAAAGGAAACCGCCAGTCTTGCCTTTGCAATGCTCAGCAGCACCATTGATCAGAAGACTTTTTGAAGGTCTCTTAATTGAACGTGTTGCCATGAGGGTGAAGCAGATAACAATAACTACGACTACTACAAGAACAACACATCCTGGAGTGAGGCAAACATACTGAGCCCAGAACATGCTGAGAACCTTCTCTGGGGCAAGGGATAGCATGCCGGTTGGTATTCGCCTACTTACCTTGGGAAACAGACTGTGACCAGAACTGAAACGTCAATCGCAATTTCCAGTGGATGGCTGAAATCCTGTTGCTTTACATCATAGGTTGCACGCGTGTGGCTCGTTGAAGCAAGTGGGGATCGGGAGAGGCAACTCTTCTTCTACTTGAGTTGCTACTTGTTTTAGCAAAGGAAGTACCAACTAGAATACTACACTAAGAGCACTCGAATAAATGGAACTCATACAGTTGACTCACCAAAACCCTACTGATTCAATGGGCTTACTCTAGCACAACTTACTACACTAAGCCAAAAGATTTAAGCCATTGCGGGTGTTTCTGCTCTTTAATTTTTGAAATCCTCTCAGACATGGACAACATGTGGAAGCTGAGAAAATGAATGAATAAAACTCACCAAAACCCTACTGATTCAATGGGCCTACTCTGGCACAACTTATTACACTAAGCCAAAGGATTTAAGCCATTGTGTGCTTGTGAGTTCTTTAATTTTTGAAACCCCCTCAAACAAGAACAACATGTGGAAGCTGAGAAAATGAGTGAATAAAGACAGGAAGGTCTTTAGCAGGTGGTTCAATTTCAAGGCGGGGATGTGGGCATGATAAAAGGAAAAAAAGAAGAGTTACAATTAGTAATGAGTCACCAGCAGAAGGAAACACAGACTTCCAGACCACCATCCCCACCTTAGCCAGATATCGGTGCTGGCTTTTGCTCTGTTTCGTGCTGCTAGTAATTCCCCCACTGGGTGAGTCCCCTTTTCATTCTTTTCCCCCATATTTTCTGCTTTTCTATAGCTGGATTGTGAGCTTTCCTAGGGAGTTGTGCGTCACCTTGGTAAGTACGAGGAAAATATGGGGCTTCTGAGAACAAAAGGTGAAACAGAGGAGATAACTTTGCAATGGGCGAATATTGCCAGAGGAAGACAATCTCTATGTACCACATACTTGTGGTGGGGCTGGAGAGAGAGGGTTCTTTTCTAGGGGTGTCCCCTTTGGATTTTTTTGGATGCCAGTTCCCAGAATTCCTCAATCTGAGTTTTCTGTTTCAGAGACGCACACCTTCAGACTTCATGTGTTTTCTTCATCTCTAGCAGGGCTTCTTACATAATTCTTTTCCTCTTGAAATGCCTCCTGGGTGTAATCTTACAGCTCTATTGGTTCTATATAGACTGTGCCTTCCAAAGACTAAAGTGCCCTGGGATGGGGGGGGTGCAGGAGCTGGAGATCTATTATGCAGCCTCTGAAGACTAGGCCTTGAGGGAAAATGCAAGGTGTCTGAAATTGTAGACTGGGACTACCAACATTCTTCCAGAGGAGGAATTCTGGGGTACGTTGGGGAGTTGGAGTGCAGGAAATCCAAATGCCACATCATTATTACTTTCTCTTCATGGAGGTAAGGTGGTAGCATTATGACTTCCATCTATAAAGAGCTGAATTAGATTCTCCCTTCGAAGGCAGTGGAACTGATGACTGAGGTTAGGGCTGGTGTCCCGACTGTTACTCTAAAAAGCTTCTGCTCTGTTGTTAAAGGTGACAGATGAAGGTCGACCTTTGATCAACACCCATGGAAGGAGAGGCTCCTCTTAAGGATGAACAGAAGCAGCTACAAGCAGGAGCCAACCAAAAAGAGGATGATGCAAATGATTATTTTTTTCCCCTTATACAGGCCCTTCGGAATCTAGAAGGTATATATATGGAGAAAGTCATTCACTTGTTATCCACTGAACCTCTTGTGTCTTTAGCTAAACCTAAAAATTGGCCTCCCGGACCAAACTCTGGGAGGCAGTGGAAGATGAGAGGACCTGGCGTGCTCTGGTCCATGGGGCCGTGTGCAGTCGGACATGACTTAACGACTAAACAACAACAAGAAATTTTAGGAAAGGAATATGAGAAAGATTTCCTGAATACAAAGCAGGCTGATGAATGCAATAAACTTTCTTCTGTGGCACCTTTTCCCTCTCAAACCCCCTAGATCCTCAATTGATGATTAATTCTCTCCTTCGAACAGATGAGGGAAAAGAGGAGGAAGTAAGACTCCAAGGGACATTGCCAGAAAGAGGGGAGGATGAAAAGGAGAACTGTTGGGATGGAAATGAATCGCTGAGGCAGAATCGGGAAGACCAGAGGAGAGACAGATCTCAAAGATATCCGAGCGGCGTTGCCTCTGAAGACGAAATGGGAAAAACAAC